AAATTATGACACTTGTGTCATCAGCAAATATTATGGGTTCTGTTAAAGTATTTATTGTTTTTATTGTTGGAGGAAGGTCATTTATGTATATTATAAAAAGCAAGGGCCCTAAAATTGACCCTTGGGGACTATTCTTAATAGAAGTTCTGACAGTAAGATTCTGTAATCTGAATCACTGCTAAGTATTTTTAGGAAAAATGTTTATGAAAGTAAGAAGATATTCTATATAAGTTAATTATAATTATATGTAATTTTTTGTACAGGTTTGGCTACCAAAAAGCCTGATTTTCTGTGCATGACAAAGAGGAAATCTGAGGAACAGAAATGGAGCACAAAGAATAAATGTATTAAGTTCAAACCTCAAATAAAGAGGAAGGATGGGAATGTGTCCATTGTAAGTTTCATGATCAGTTATCACTCTTTTTTGTAACGTTTTGTGGCCAGTAAGAGGTTATTAAATATAAAACTTCAATATTATTTACAGCAGTAAATAATAGTTAAGTATAGTGACTGTAGTAAACTAAACTCAGGGAGAAAAGTAAAATGTTTCTGTAAGGTATAAAGAAATTGTTGAATTTGTGATATAACCCATAGAGTGCTTCAATATTTATATAAGTAATAAGGCCATTATGTGGGCTAAAACTAGAAACTTTTCAGTCTTTGATTTTGAGAGAAAAATTGAGTTATCAGATGAAAATAAATTGTTAAATTTACATCATTAGACTTACGGTGCTGAAGTAAGTTCACAATTATTGTACTTGAAAAGGTCATCCAAGAGTTTGTTTTTCTAGTGTTGCACTTGAAGATGGGAATGGCTCATTGCTTTTGGGGAATTTTCAATGAGGGCTCTTCTTATGGAAGGGTTTATGCAGGTACTGAGATGTATAAGTGGTTGTTGCAAAATGGATTTCTGTCACTTGCGAAAGCCATCACACCATCTAAAGTGTACAAATTCTTAGTCTTTATTTTTTTCTGAGAAGTGAGCAACATCACTCATTACAACAAGATAATAAGTTAAGTAACTAACTAGCCATCCAACTCCATGGAGCAAAGTCTTTAAAAAGCTAATAATATGTTCAGCTAGTCAAGAAATTCCTTGCATTTTATGGACTGAACTGAAAGGATCATTACCATGTTCACAAGAGCCCACTATTGGTCCCTATCTTGAGCCATATTAATCCAATCCATTCCCTCATTAACCTGTGGGTGTCAGAAGATTGCTTTAACACCCACATTAAAACGGAGAAAAATGTATCTAATTTGTCTCCTTGTTGGACAAAATTATACCTATGTCAAATCTGATTCCATAATATAATGAAGTTCTGCCTTTTAAGAACATTTTCTCCCATAAAGCACTTTATGCATATAATATATAAAACAAGATGACAGTAGATTTCACTGCTGTGAAATCCCCATTTAACGTTTCTCTGGGGATTAAGGATTTGAACAGTAAATTTAGGAAACCTTAAATGTATATGTTGAGATTAATTTATTGGATTAATTTAAATTAAATATAAAATGATGGAACATTTTGAATTGGGAAACATTATTTTCTTGCTTTAGTAGAGAACCATGCTGAATGACTCACTTTTGTGGTCAAAATATAATGGCTGCTCATTTGCTGAGAATATCAGTCTTTCAAAACTTACATTTATTTCATTTGTTGCTCAAAATTAATTGTTAAACCAGCTTCTGGCTCTTGTGCATAAAACATGCATTGTTGCAGTTTATGCAAGAAGGTATTTGTACCTACTACATTCATGAATGTGTATAAAGCATGTTGTAATGATTGTTGGAAATAAATAACAACATAATGCAGTACTTAAAACAAATTTGTTTTTGGTACTTGTATATTATTTTGTTTTTCTATTTGCATTTATGAATCTCTGTACATGACAGTATTCAGTACTGGAAACCTTTGCAATCGTTTTCTTCCTGCCCTTGTTGTTGTTGCTTTTTCTTTCCTCTCCAAAGTCATACATATAAATTTGGCTTTCAGGAAGAGGTTTACAGAATGTGTAGAAGTACCAGATAGTTGCAATATGGATGGTATCACATTGCTGTTGTAAAACTGTGTTTCAGAAGAAGCAGAATACCTTGCAACACATTCCATCACCAGCTGAACTTGCACAGGATACAGATGAAGATTTCTTAGGATTTCCAGAAGCAACTTCTATTGGGTAAGTAACTCAGAAGGTGAAATTTGATTATGGGTATAAGCCTTATTTTCTTGAAGATTGCAGTGTTCTCATTTTATATATTTTAATTCTCATAAACTTGTTCTAAAGATTATATTTAAAAATAAGGCTAGTGAGTAAAATGAGAACTAATTTAATTGTAAATAGATTGAATTACACAAATATAAACATCATAATTGTATTTAAAATTGATACCAAATTTTAAAATTCCTTTCATTTGGATCTTTATATACTGTCTGAAACTTTATATAAGACTGATAAAGTATTCTTGGCCATTCTGCAGCATCAATTGGGAGCATAAGTGCAGCATTTCTGGAACCATCTCTGTTGCCATCATCTTGTTATGATGGGAAACCACTGTTGGACAGTGTATTTACATTTACAGATTCATTAAGGTCCCACCTTCAAGGACAGCCTCTGATCTATAAGTGATTAGTGGGCAGAGTCATAGGTCAGTTGTCTTTGACAGGGCTTTGTCAGATCTGTGATGGTATTATATATATATATACCTACAAAGAATGGTTACCAGTCATGCCTTTCCCTGATGATAGAGACAGACATAATCACTAAAATGGACTTCTGCTTGAAATTGATGCTGCTGAATGTCCAGTCTTAATTACCATGAAAGATTAAAGACTTCATTAGGTTATTCTTGTTATCAGAATGCAGCTTAAACAATTTGAGCTTAGCCAGATATTTTCTTCAAAAGTGGCTGTTATATAAAAAATTAATGGAGAAATAAATCTTACTTTTGTGACCGATAAGTTTCAGAATAGTATTTTCTGGTTTCTAGCCCATGGAAGCCTTCACCAACATGACTTGCGAACTGAAATTTTGCTTTCTGAACAGAATTTATGAATGAGTTGCGTTGTTTGGCTCACATAGGGATAATTTTCTAGTTAGAAGTCCTCTTTTGTATAGTGGAGTATAAGTGAGATAGTCTGCCAGCAATGGTAAGCTGAGACATTTAGCTGCCTGTTGGTAGTAGAAGGAATTCCAAAATTACATGTGCAGGTTTTTTAATTGTTTGATTTTTGAATATAATTACAGGAGGAATTAAATTACCTTCAAATGTTTGGACATGGCTGTTAGTGTAACAACTGATGTTGGTGTGTAAAAAGTATGGTCTATGAAAAATTTAAATCAGGCCCACAATCACGTTCAGATATTATTGGCAACCTCTATCAATGTTTACTTTCTCATATACTGAACGCTAAGTAGGGCCCAGTCCATATTCAGTTTAATGTGTTTCTTAATCCCTTGAGATCATGCAGATTAATTTTTAATATTGGTAGAACCAGCTGCAAAAATATCATAACAGAATTTGATTTTGCCATGAAGTCTGTGTTCTTGAATATCTGTCCTACAATTTTGTGTAACTTAAGATGCAGTGTTGCCCTTGCCTCATTTCCTTTCCCATCTGCTACCCCTTTTTGTAAGTTTTGGCTGTACAAGCACATTCTTTTACATTCTGTTATAGATCACAAAAGTAGTCACACTTTTTATCTGCTGCTTCAAAGCAGTATAGTTTGGACAGAAATTTGTATTCAAAATGTCTTACAATCCACACACAGCTGAAAGTGATTTTAACAAGTTATTAACAATTTACTATAACCCACTTTAAGTTTTTGGTGCTATGATGACATCCCTTATGAAATCACAAGATAAAAATTATATTGAGGTATCTAAGTATAGTTAATTCCAGTCAGGAAAGCTAGCAATGGCTGGGGGTACGTCGTGCTGACCACACGTCACCCTATATCTGGTTGGATGATCGTTCACCTCTGCTTAGGCATGTGAACGTGAGGCCACCAGTCAAGCTAGTTGGCTTTGGCTCTCTGGAGCTGTTACGCCACGGACTTAATTTAAGTATAGTTAATTGGACACTCATTTAGAAGGAAAAAAACACGCACACATGCCGCCCCTCCTCCACACACACACACAACTGTTTATAGGCACATATACATACACTTACAGAGGCTTCTATTGTATCTGTATTCATTTTAGCATTCATTCTTCCATTCACCCATGTAATTTTAATAATCTTATATATGAAGATGTGGATTTTGTACTAATGAGACTGGCTTATGAATGAAATAGGATACGTTTCAAAAACTGTTCTTTGTGACCTATTTCAGACAAATTGTGGGACTTTCTGCCCTTAAAGATGCCATCAGGAAGCTTGAAAGTGAACTTGAAAGCCTGGTGGAAGCAGGTGAATAATTTTAGAATACCTACTTAAAAGAAACATATTTTTTCATATCTCTGTAGTTAGAATTGGTCAATGAGTGCCATTCAGATTAGCTATGTCTTCTTAGACATATCATCCTATTCCAGGGGAATAGATTTTTATCAGATTTGGTATCATTGAATTGTTAAAGAATATGAATAATTGCCTTACATGAAGGCTTGGATATAATTTTAGAAATAGTGTCACACAAATTGAAGATATTTCATGCAAAATCTGTAGTCCTTAATAAGACATATGTTTGTAAAAAATTGCTTTCAGATACTACTGACAGTGACTGTTGTATACTTGGACTTTTTCTTAAAATAAACTGGATTGAAATTAAGATTTGAGGTTCTCATGGCAGTGAATATTAAGATGATAATCTTTACATTCTTTGAATTTTGAATACTGTCTGCTGATATATTTATACACACTTTTGATACATATACTACATGTTACTGTAACTGTCATCCACTTAAGCATAATAATAGATTGCAGACAACATAAGAATATCTTTTCAACATATGATTTAATTCATTAACTCTTACATATGTATTTTGTACTTTGGTGTAATTTCAGAGAATGGCTCAGAAAAAGAGTCTGATGTTCCTGGGAGGCGTTATCCTAAGCGATCATTAGCTCGAAAGAATTACATGGAGGGAAATGTACTAGATGATGATGAGTACATATGTAAGTGCATTATAGTATTAATTTTATGACGTTTTTCAGGATGTTTTCATTAATGTGTAAGGAAGAGATGATTACTTGTTTATTTGTTTTTGTATGTATCTTGCTAATAATTCTTAATTAATTTGCTGACTCTTATGACAATTACTATGGAAGTTATGTGATAGTTAGCCACTCCAATATTATACTTTCTACAGTGTTAGCAAAATGGCAGTCACTTGTCCTTTTTGTCATGCCAGTCTGAGTGTTTGTTTCATAATAGGTCTTTGAAAACTGTTCATAGTTCATGAAGAACATTTACATTAAATATGGAATTAATTTTCTATACGAGGTACGATCGGAAAGTTTCAAGACTGTGTCAATAGAGGGCGAACCGGATGTAGTACGAGCTTCTGCCGCTAGGGGGTGCGGCCTACATTCATAGTGAATCAGTGTGCCAGCCGGCATCATCGAATTAGCATTTGTTTCTTAGTTACGGGCGTCTTGGTAGTGCATTACACCGACCCTCCTGCGATTGCGGA